TAACAAAGCTTTAAACACTCAACAAAAGGCAGGGAAACAAAGCTCCTTATCAGATACTAAATCATCTGAAGAAAAAAAAGCCCCAAACTCTCGACAGCTGGGCAGAAATGTGTGCAAAGAGAAGCTGAAGTTGCACAGTTTTCACCACTTCACCTCCTACGGCAGCAAGAGGAATCCTGACCCAGCTTGTGCACAGGACAGAAGGAGAGCTGGCACATTCTTACCTGTATTCAGGGTACCTAAAAGGCTGGCTGGAGCCCTGCCTTTCCATTACCCTTCTCCCATCTCATCTAGCAAAACCCATTCCAGAAAGTGACATCAAGATAAAAAAACTGGAAAGGATTTGCTGGAATGAGGAGGCGGGGGAAGAAGAAAGGTTATTTCCTGTTTGCTGCTATCAGATTTGGGTTTACTCCCCTTCCTGAGCTTATCAAAACTGGCACAGCACATCCCCTGCAAAAGGCTCAGGAGAAAGACAGGAGTGAGGAGTCCCTGCAGCCCCAGGCAAAGCGTGGCCTGAGGGGCTCAGTGGGGCTGTGGTCCACCACCAGCAGAGGAGTGCATCTGTCTGGGGAATGCCATCCATGACAAATGCCAGGGAGAGCAGGCATGAGGAGAAAGCAACAGCAGCTGCAGCTTTCTGGAGAAAAACATTTTCTATTGCCTGAAGAGTTTGCAGGATGATGGAGGACAGACCTTGCCTGAGACCCCTGCAGCCTCCCCACCTATTTAAGGGATGAAAAAGCATCTCTGTCTGCCATTACTCACCACCACTTCTGTACCCTCAGTCATTAAGTCTGTGCCCTTTCCTCCCTTTGGATCCTGCACAGCAGTCACTGAATCTGTGTCATCACAATTTTCCTCTCTCTGTCCTGTCATGGTTCATTCTGACACAGCAGAGACAGCAGCAGCAGAAGCTGTCCCACCCAACACTGCTCCTGCTCCTGCTCCTGGCTCAGTGTCCCCCAGCACTGCTCCTGTTCCTGGCTCAGTGTCCCCCAGCACTGCTCCTGCTCCTGGCTCAGTGTCCCCCAACACTGCTCCTGTTCCTGGCTCAGTGTCCCCCAGCACTGCTCCTGTTCCTGGCTCAGTGTCCCCCAGCACTGCTCCTGGCTCAGTGTCCCCCAGCACTGCTCCTGGCTCAGTGTCCCCCAGCACTGCTCCTGCTCCTGTTCCTGGCTCAGTGTCCCCTCAGGAGTGCCTCCACCAACTTCTCCAGTTGAGTGAATTGAGTTGACACTCACACACCTTCCTGAATGTGCCACCTGACACATCCCTGAATCCCTGCTGTCCCAAATTCCCTCGCCACAGGTTTGCAGGTTGTTACAGAGGAGAAATCTGATGCCTATTGCTCTGTGATTGAAAGTTTTCACAGGAGTGCAGCACAAACTTTTAGTGCTCTTTGCTTCAAGTCATGCTGCCGATGTCACTACTGCAACTCTCTTCACACAGACAAACACAGCACCACAAGTTCTTTTTCTTTCTTTTTATTTTTTGTTTGTTTGAAGATACCTTGTTACATGATGTTTCAACACCAAAAAAAAAAAAAAAGCTTTTAAAACTCCTTTATGGAGTTTATGGAAAATATGTTTTGCCCTCAAAGAGGAAGTTGTATAAACCAAAAATGAGACAGCAAGTCTGGCTGGAGGATAGACACCCAGCTGTATTTCTTTATTCCATTTGCATATGATATGGGAGTAGACAATCATTCTCTCCAATGTACTGCATTTGCAATTCCAAAAGATTTGCTGAGAACTGCCTCCAAGTAATTCTTGGTCTGAAATACATCTAGTTTCTGTAGTGTTAGACAATACTAAAAGTATCAGTAGCCATCATCAGTTTTAAAAATTCTGCATAGAATTTCCAACAGTAACTATATTTATATTAGCTATAAAACACACACTTTAGACTATGGCCCCATTCAGTATTTTATCATGGATATTGGCCAAGTGTGACACAGAATATGCTAAAAATAGATCAATTTAAAAATAAGTTGACATCGACCATCCATGTTTTCCACCTCTGCAGATGAGAACTTTCCTTGCATTAGTGTTTGGCACTACAGCTATGCCAGGTACATGAACTTGCAAGAGTAATGAATGATTTTACAAAGTCAGGTTCCTGCCCACCTCATGGCTGCTTGGGGCTGGACTCCCACATCAGGCAGGAAATATCTTCATGAAGGTGACAATGATGCCAGCAGCATGCATAGGCAGAAAGGCTGCTGCACTTCCCTGTGGTCCTGCACAGCCCAAAGAAACCTGCTAACTGATCACACCAAAATTAAATTAATCTTGGTATAATTAAGCCAACACCTGCCAGCAAGGACATGCAGTGATAGGACATGGGGCGAAGCCTTCAAACTGAAAGAGAGTAGGTTTTGATTTGGTATCAGGGAGAAATTCTTTTATGTGAGGGTGCAGAGGCACAGGTGGCCCAGGGAAGCTGTGGCTGTCCCATCCCTGGAAATGTTCAAGGTTGGACAGGGATCTGAGCAACAACCTGCTCTAGTGGAAGGTGTCCCTGCCCACAGCACGGGTGTTGGAATTAAATGAACTTTAAGGTCCCTTCCAACCCAAACCTTTCTATGATTTTCTTGCTGGAAAAGTACAAATATTTAGAAAGGCTTAGGACCTTCTAGGTTCTCAGTAAAGACACCCCTGCTGTCTCCAGCCACATCCTCTGCTCAAGATGAGTCAGGTAATCTTGCAGAAAGGAAATGAAACATTTACTCTGAACAAAACCAATGCAGGACCCAGAGGTTGTCAAAGGTCCCAGGCACTGAGCAGCCTGGCAGAAGGCACAAACAGTATCCAAATACTAATCCAAGCTTCTGCCGTGACACATCACAGAATTCTGCTTCCACCTCAGACAGAAATGGGTGATGCTGCTGTTCTTGCCCACTTCTGCTACCACTTCTGTGTGCTTACCTATGGAAATCTGTGGGGCATCTCACTCCTGCCTGCCTGGTGGTAGTAATACCAGTTTGGATTTTACAGCACCACCAGAATTTGCTGTTTCGTTTTAAGAAATGGCTTTAAAGATGTCTATCTGTGACACTGGCTGCTGCAGGTTCATTAAACATGAACCTCTTGTTTGTTTGTTTTGAAATGAGCTGCAATAATTCATAAAAGATGATGTGAACTTACCATGTACATGCCTAAAATCTAGAGGGTTGTTTTTTTTTCAGCTACACAGAGATTTCTATCAGAAGTTCACACAACCACTGCCTGCACATCACTTCAGTACAACAGATGTTTGCTATTGTAAACTGACCATTATCAGTTTTGTCTATCTGCTCTCAGACTCACCAACTTCTGCTCTTGTTTCTGTAGAGCTGAGGGCTGGTCCTGCAGCTCGCCATAAACTGCTGGCTCTGGCCCTGGTGTCTCTGCTCCCATGCTGGGCTCTGAGGCAGCACCCCAAGGGCTACATACACAACCACTGGGACATCAGGCACAGCAGCCTGAGGCAGAGGTTGAAAAACAAAGCACTGTTTCATTGCTGGGATGTGGGAGCTTTTCTGTCCTGATAGTTCTGTGGGGATGAGTTCATCCTGAACGCTAAAAGAAATCTAAAGGGATCCTTCCATTTTCTCTGCTCACCATTCTACAACAGTTTTCTTGCTAGCTTTTGCTTTCACTTTGATCTTAAGTCAAGTAAGTTCATTCTCTGCTCTCCTTTTATATTCATAAACTAAATTAACTACATGATGAAAAGATTACATATTGCATTTCATGTCAGTTGTTGCTCAGCACACGCCACAAGCAAACTCTTCCCACCATGATTGACATGGATTCAAATCTAAACCTCTGTTCTGTACAATGCTACAAACCACTGGTGGTTTGTCTTGGATGGGAGGATATCACATCCCGAAACATCCACATTTCCCACAGAGCAGAGCTCCCCTCGTCCTGCCAGCACTTGATTAGCAGAGGGATGGAAGCTGCACGACTCCCAGCCTTCCCCAGTCAGGACCACTGGCCAGAAAGGATGCTGTGGTGGTCAATTCCCATCACCTGGAAAGCACCAGCTCCCCAGAGGAAGCCAGAGGCACCTGGAGGCACCAGAACTCTCTCAACAACCTAGAGAAAGCAGGACTGGCATGGCACAGCCTCACTGAAGGCACCAGAAACCCCAAAGAGGCAGCACAGGCACCTCTGTTTCTGGCTAAATTCCTGATAGCACCATCCACATCCTACCCTGTTTTTCTGTCAGACCCAGGCTGGAAAGTGTCCCTGATCTTTCCTGGGAGATGCAGCACCATAGTCAGGCTGGAAAACACCTGGAAATTCAGGCAGATGACTCCTTGGAATGCTGGGCTCATGGACTGCAGGGCAGGATCTCCCATGCCCAGTCACACCAGTGTTCCAGGGATAAACCTGTTATGGTAAACTCAAGGGATTTGATACAATCATATCATATTTTACCCACAATCTGGGGCCACTTGTCTAAGGGTGAGAATGAGCCACCTCCTCCATGCAAAAGGTGCTATGCAGTCCAGTTTCCTCTCTCACAGCTGAGGTGGCTCAGGTGTCACAAAAAAATACAGATGGATAAAGATGGGTAAAGCCATCACCCTGCATCCCTGCCCTGCACCTCCCAGTTCAGGCAAGGCACCAGAGCAGGGCTTGGTGAGCTGCTGGTGCACATGAATGTACTTAAACACTAACACACATTCCAGCAGGGACAGGCTTTGTGCCACCGTCCTACAGCCTCTCCTGGGGTGACCTACAGATGAATGTCCTCATGATCTCTGTGCCCTTGACCCCCCAAGTCAGCTCTAGTCAGCAATAACTTGTTATCACCTTTCCTTTGTTTGGCTGTGTATAAATTTGAAAATAAGCCTGTACTTCCTGTAAAAACCAGAAAGAGACAATTATAAAATAACAAAACTTAAACAGTTCTGAAACAAGGTAGAAAACAGATCTTTTTATTTGGAACAAAATTAATCATGGGGGGAAAGGAAAAAGAAATAAAACACCAGAAAAGAACAATAGCTGGGCATGAGCACATACAGTTAAAGGAAGAACACAGGCTGCATCACTTCTCTCCTGACCTCACAATAACAAAAACTTTTGCCCCATTGCTCAATGGCATTTTCAGTGGTAAAGGACAAAAAATCAGCTGTGGTCCAATCTGTCTTGCAAAGACCTCTCACATTTCTATGGGAAAAATCCTTCCAGAACCAGGATCATAATAGTGATGGTGTTCACAGCTGCTGGGCACCCCCAGCCCTCCCAGGGCTGACAGCAGGAAGGCAGCACTGGGATAAGCTGGAGCTGGGATGCCCCAGCCCAGCAGGACAAGGCTGGCCCAGCTCTCACCCTCAGCACTGAAACACTGCCTGTTTTCTCCAGTGCAGCTCAGAGCAGTAGTTCAGCCTTTGAGGGATGTGCTGGAGTCGAGTGTCCCCTCCTGCCCCTGCCAGAAAGTGCAGAATGAAGCAACGCTGACTACATCCCCGCAATTTGGTGACACTGGCGTGGTGACATTCACCTGGCATCGCTGCTTCTGCACTGCCACCCCCAGGCACTCTGTGTCACTTTTTTGCCATTAAACTCACAGCCTCTGAGGAATGTTTATACTGAAAAGAGTTAGAACAGCACCGTAAGGAAAAGAATTATCACCTCCCTCTCACCGTGGAAAATCAGATTCCAACTGCAGCCTTTAAAAGGGGAGAAAGGCTGAATCACCACCAGCACAGCACAAAAGATCTTCTAAAGACAGTCACAGGACAAGGAAACAACGAGAACAATCACCTATGGCTGGGTGTCACTGATGCAGAGCCTTGGCCAGTACACAGAGATGAAGGACTCCCAGGTAAGCTCCCTCACCTGGGAGAGAAGCTTTTGGTTTTGTCTGGATTCTGCTGGGGTGCTCACAGCCCTCCTTGGATGGCATTCACCAGGCTTATCTTAAACCCATTTCCAAGGGATTCACAGTGTCAGCACAATATAAAACAGGGACGAAATGACAGGTGAGGAGAGGAATGCAGTACACACCTCCCCATCCCTTTTGGTCCCAGTCTGTGCCATCTCTGCTTTTATTACCACACTCTCTAGCCCAGCAGGCTAATGTAACACTAACAACCGATTTAACACCTCACTCTGACTACTAAAATTGTCCTACACCCTGGCAGCACATCCTGCAGCACTCTGCAGCCTGACAGCCCTGCAGTCCCTTTCAGCTTTGCTGGGACTCAGCTGCCTGCTGCCAGCATCCTTCTTCCCTGCAGGTCTCCCCCAGCTGCTCCACAGGCACACCTCCTCTGAGCAGAACAGGACATGCATAGCAGCAAGACTTACCTAAGAGATTCTACAAATTGCTCCTGTCTGTGCAAATAACACAGCTCCAAACAAGCCTACATGCACAGGCAGATGTCCAGCTTCATCAGCTTGCAGTAGCTAAACTATCACACTAAAGGCACTAATGCTTGCATTGATCAACAACCTCAGCGTTAAAATCAAGGTTTCTGCCAAAATTGCAGCCCCAGGCCCCCTCCTGCTGCAGGCAAGCGGGTGACAGTGCTGGCTTAGCTCAGGGACAGCCCAAGCAGCAGAAGCCAACCAGGGTTCTGGTGAAAGGTAACCTGTCCCCTCTGTCACTTGGGGCACTAAGCGGGGAGCAAAGCCAGCATCACCCCAGGTCTGCCCACAGCAGCTGCAAGTCAAATTTCAAGCCCCCACCACTGCTCCTGCTGCAGGCAGCAAGAGGTGAGGCCAAATCACAGGGTCTGGAGCTCAGAGGAGCAGCTCAGATAAGCACCCAGGACAGCAGATACCGAGCTGAAACCTCCTTTGAGTTTCCTTGGCGGGGCCTGGGAAAAAAATGCCCTGAAGTCTCCTGAGAAAAACCTTTCTCAGGAAATTTCTGGCAAGTCCTTGGTTTCTGACTGGGACTGGCAGGGCACCTCAGCCTGGCTGTAGTGCCTGGCCCTGGCTGGCAAAGATATGGCAAGGCATGGGGTGGGCAGGGGGCAGGAGGAGCCGCCTGTCTCATTCCAGGCTGGTCCCTGGAGCTCCCAGGTTTAGCTGCAGCTCTGTTCGCAGGCAAAGCACCAAGGAGCTGCCTGCTTTTGTTTGTTAGTGAACCTGCTGGGCCACAGCAGTGCAGCCTTGAAGCCACGTGTGTGCTTTTCTCTGTATTTCCTTTTTTCCTTTTTGAGTGAGGTCAGAAGGTCTGACACCTCACGTCTTTCCCCTGCTGAAATGTTCCAGACACAGTGAGACTATGGGATGTAAAGGAGTGTCACAGGCCTCAGGGTGGAGCGGCAAGCACTGTCAGATCAGTCATCAGTTGGATCTGGGAAGCAGTCTGAGGCATCTCCCTGGCTTTCCATATCAACTATGACCTCAGGATCTGGCATTTCCTCAGCTTCTATCTGCCCTGGAACGTTTTCTTCTGCCAGTGGCTGGGGCTCAACGCCTTGAGCAACCTGGGCAGCGTCTAGAAAAGGGAGAAATAGTTTGTAAGTGCCCACACTATGGCTCACCCTCATGGAAATTCATCCCTTGGTCCCTAATGCTGCAGGCTGCCTAATCTACTCAGTCCCTTCGCCCCTGGCACCTGCAAGCCAAATTTCAATTTCCTCTGTAACTGCTCATTTACTGAGCTATCCATCATGCCTTAGGGCACTTTGGTACTGAAGCTATCTGGATTCTTAGCACCAAAGTACTTTAGTACTGCTACTACCAAACCTTTAGTACCAAAATACTAAAACCAAATCTGTTCACTTACATCTGAATAATTAAAGACGGCTAACAGCACACATTCAGTTCTCACCTACTTTCCACATGCATCTCTGCTTTTTACTTAATTGCAAAACATTTAAATATGGGCTACTTTTTAGCCAAACTTATAATGTTTGAATTTTTTATTAAAACCTCTACACTTGAAGTATATTAATATTAAACAATGACCTGAAAGACTTTTTATTTTTATTCTCTTTCTTGTTCAATGTTCATGAGTAGCATTTAGTATTTTGAAAGCAGAGCAAAGGGCATCCAAGGTTAGACATAAAGCACAGCAGAGCTATAGAAGTCTGTGCACGGTGCAGTGAAGGACACCAGAAATGCAGTGCTGAGACCAGGCTGTGACCTATGCAATGTTGCTCCAGTTCATGATGTCTCTCCTAAACCTACTTCAGCTGATGATGGTGCATTACTAGGCCAGGCATTGCCAGCTTTTGTGTTTGGGAAGCAAAACTGAGGGAAACATAATGCAAAAAGTGGAATATTAATATTAATCACTTACAGAACAGGACATTTCTGAAGGGTTTTTATCACCGCACTCTGTTGACCGTATTGTGCTAAAGCTGTGGGGGTTTATTCTCGATTTCTTTGAAGAATTTAAAATGTGACCAAATTCCCACTCTAGCCTCAATTTAAGAAAATACACAAGCCTCTGGCTTTGATGGGATTTAGCTGTGTCTACAGCTCAGCATATTGGTTCCTGCTGTCCTGAAGATGACTGCTTACAAAAACAACACTGATTTTTATAACCATATATAAAAAGGGGAGAAGGATGAGAAAACAGCAGGAAAACTGCTGAGTTCTGGGGGGCTGCTGTTTTTGAGGTATGTGTTTTAGCACAGGAGATACTGGAACAGCCAGCCTGCAGCCTGCTGGCAGCACCCTCTGTGGGATGCTTGTGGGACGGCTGCCTCTACCTCTCATGGCATGAGCAAGGTACTGAAAAATGCCCTGCTGCAACTCCTGGAGAAGGTGCAGCACCTCCACTGTTCTGGTGTGTCCCAGGTCCCTCTCTACTGTCACCTCCACATCCACAAACACTGTGCTCCTCCAAAACAAGCTATCTGTCCGACTTCAGACAGGTCACTGGACTCACCAGGCTTCGGAGGACGGTCAGTTTGGGCAGCCTGAGCCTCGACACGGTCTCCATTGGGGGGGCTCTTCGTGCCTTCACCGGACACCACTGACATTGTCAATCCATCATCCTTCTCCTCCTCTGTGAAACCAAAACCAGAGATTTGAAGGAAGAGGCGTCCCACAGCCCCAGCCTCGGCAGGTCTGCTGTGAAGCCAGAGCCCCAGCACGTGTTTGCGTCCCCGGCCCCGCTCCCGGAGCGGGCAGATGCCAAGAACGGAGAGTCACTGCCAACCTGCCAGAGAGCAGCCTGGCCATGCTGGCAGGATCACAGCTTGAGGTGGCACGGGCAGATTGCACTCAGGGACTGGTGCTGACAGAGGACTGCCATCAGAAACCTTGGGGTCATTTCGGGATCACACCTGAATCAGGTTCAGTTTTATTGCTCATAGGAAAGGTTTTGCTGTGGGTTTTTCTTCAGGCCAGGAGCACAGGGTGAGGGCACAAGTGTGAGGTGGATAAAGGAAAAGCGAGGTTTCATCCAAGACCCTGCTAGCCATAGAAGTTGCCTATCAGCAAGCAGACTTGTGCTCCAGCAGGTCAAGGGAGGACAGGCTGGAGGACACACAGACACCCAGCTGAGCCCAGGTTACTCTAAGGCCATGTCAGCCCCAGCCTGCACACACACAGTCCTCTCCAAAATTAATCACAGGGGGGGTCACAGCACTCCCCACTCACCTGAAGGCACGGGGATGAACTTGTGTCTCCTCTTCATGCAGCAACATATGGCTGCAGGCAAAGCCACCACCAGGATAAGCACGCCCGCTGCACACCCTGCCAGGATGTAAATGAACCCCGGGTACCGCAGCAGGTCTGCAAGAAGGACACAGCATTGTTAGGTACCATGGTGGGCAAACTCCTTTCCCCCAGTGGGAGCAACTCTGCAGCCAGATTAGAGCTTGCTGACATCATCTGTTGCTTTAGTTTGGATCAGGGCAGCTGACGCTGTGAACCGTGGCACTTTGTGATTTATGTCACATCACTTAATTACGGCATGGAACTTTTCATTAAGAGAAGGGGCCTGTGAGCCTAAGCTGCGTGCATTTGCTTCTGCCTGCTCTGATCACTGACATCTAAGGTAATCTGTAAGTTTTAATCAAATTTAACAGAGAAGGTGGTGGTTTGAAGGACACTACATTTCAACAAGTTGCATGAAAAGGGGCAGGTGAGGAGGGAGACCTAAGGAAACACTTCCCACTGAAGGAAAAGCTGCAGAGTCTGTCCCCAGAGCTGGTATCAGAGAATCCGCTTAGGACGGTCATGTAATGACTGCACCAACCCCAGAGCAATTCTCATCAGAGCCTGCACTGCCTCAAAGACTGTGACCACTTGAGCTAGAGCTACAGGAAAAAAAATCCTTCCCCGGCTCCGCTGCTGCTCAGGGAAGGATTCCGCTCTGTTCCCCAGCGCGGCCGGGAGCGTGCGGAACACACAGCAGGAGTGGGGGCTGCAGATGGCTGAGCAGAAGGGCAGCACAAGTCAGTGGTAATTATTACCCGGCTCAGCAGCCCTTGCTCAGGGTTGCTGTGACGGGGCAGAGCCGCAGGTTGGCTGCTGCTGAGCAGGCAGCTGGTAGAGGGCATCGCAGACTTGCACAAGAGACCCATCCAGGCTGGCTCCTTCTGAGATCATCTGCTCCAGCTTGGGGCAGCCTCTTGGAAAACTTTCTTGCCACGTGCAAAAAAACCCCGTACTCCATGTAGTTAAAGCTCCACTTTAAGGATAACATAAATTCCTTAAAACTCCTTAGGTAAGCCTGTGCCATCCCTTTCTGAATAATTTAACTCCTTTTCAGCAGCACACATGCCTGCACAGCACAGCACTGCAGCAACCAACAGGCTCATTTGGAGCTTATTTTCAAGCCCTCAAAAGCACTAATTGCTCCATATCTCCAGAGACTAGGAAGAATTTTAAATGTTCCAGGATATACTATACTCCACCTGCTCACCAGGACAGTAAAAACAACTGCTTGTGGTATTTTCAGAGTGCTTATTCCAGTCTTTTTAAGAACAATTAAAAAAAAAAACATATTCAAAATGAAGAACTTTCAGCAACTCAGAAATAATTTCCCTAATTATTTTAGTTTATGAAAGCTTGAGAATCTTGTCAAAATTATGAATAGAAGTTGGAAATTTTTTCCTGAATCTTTTTCCCAAAAATTTGCCACTTGTTAATAAGGTCTTTTTGAAATAAAATATTGTATTATAAATAAGCAATGAACAAGTAATTAATCAATAAAATCTTCTACATATGTTGACTTTGTAACTTCTGAATCCTCTGTGTTCAGAGCCCTGTGTTGCCTGGGAAGTTTATGGCATTTCTGCCAAATTGGTTTTTGGTAATGTTGATTCAAAATTAATTTAATCAGCCAACAGGTTGCCCAAGTGGATGTTTTTACATAGATCATCTATCTACAGTGGAAAAACTCAATTCAGCCCTTTGCCTAGAGCAAATAATAACCCACAAAAATAATTAACCTTCAATTAAGGGAAATGAACCCATTTCTCTCTTCAATTCATTTTACTGGCATCCAGAATTGCTTTAATTCACTTTTTACAAATTTGGTTGCATTTGGTGACTAAGAAGTGGAATCACTGCCACTTTCTTTCTTTCAGACCCTTCCAAATAAGTGTTTATGTGCGTGTACATCCCCAAAGAGATATCACTAAATTCCCTCATGAGCTTTCCAAGAGGAAATGGGGAACAGATATCACACCCAGGGGCCTGGGCAGCTGCCCAGGATCAACCATGGAATCTGTCAGCACTTGTATGATTTATCACAGGGCTTGCCTGAACAGCTCATGGATGTTCACATCCTCCTTCCCCAGGGCCTCAGCCAACTTGGGTCTGACTACACTGAGCAGCCTCCAACCAGTTTGACTGGGCAGAATTCAGATCACAGCTCCACAGCCACAAATGCCAAATCTGCACAGATTGGCTGGTGGTGCCAGGCATGGACAGCCCACAGCATTTCTGCTGAATGCCACCACACTGGACACAGGGACTAGGTCAGGAGGGCTGCTTTCACACCAACTGCATGCCAACCAGAAGAAAAGACAGTATCTGCCATGGAGCTGGAGTGTCCCAGACAATTTCTAAAATCCTACAGTACAGTTTTTCTAGTGGCAAAAGTGATTAAATTAATTACAGCAAAATTTGTCAAAAAACCTTATGGTTAAGTTATGCCTGTAGCTTTGATAACCATCTTTGCTGCCAGAGAGTAAAAGAGCCTTCACTACTGGAGGTGCAAATTAAATGATACCCAGGGATCCAGATTTTCTGTGTCATTAAACTCTAGCCTTATTCAATCAGAATGGTCAGTATTTATGAATAGTTTTCTAATAGATAAAATCCCAGCCTTCTCTCAGACTTACATGTCTGAGCAAGGATATGGAGAGGGAAAAACCCTACATTCCATAAGTAAATGACTTGTGTCTTTACCCACTTCTAATGGATGGGGCTGATGGAGAGACACTTGTATAGATCAGAAAATCTTTTGTGCTTCTGGCCCAGATAAGGGGAAAGGAGATGAGGCAAAACACCTCAACTGAGTCCAGCAGCATCAGGGCTGAATTAGTGGAAGGGTTTTTATGGGCATGCACGGAAACTGGAAGGCATCTGGGTCACAGATGCACGTCAGAGTAGAAAGCAGCCTGTGTTCCTAAAGCACAGAGGAGCAGTGAACAGGAGGGTGCAAATCTCCATCACCAAAAAGTAGGAAAAGAGACAGATGGAGATCCATCCTTGCTGCAGAGCTGGGTAAAAGGACTCCTCGACAAACTTATCGCATCTGTCACTGTAGGCTGTGCCAGTCCAAGGCACAAGAGGGAGAAGGAAATCAAGGGGTCACTTTCTAAAGGCGGGACTTGGTAACTCTGGAAGAGAGATGCCAGAGGACAGAAGAGTTTGATGTTTTGAGGGTACCAACAACCCCTCAGTTTGCTGCTGCAAGAGACCAAAAGGAAGATTTTTCTGGAGATGCCGTTACTCACCGTAGCTGCAAGAGAGCGTGATGGGCCTGGTCCTCGTGACACTGTTCCCCTTCAAAACTTCACACACAAACTCCCCAGGCTCAGTTTTGCCCAGGTGAACCTTCTTCCCAGCATCCTTGATGCAAGCCCCCTCAGCTTTCAGGTGGGTGCCATTCAGCAGCCACCGAAAGACCAGGATCTGGCTGCTGGCCACGTTGCAGGACAGCTCTGCAGTCCCATCAGGGAAGCACTGGATACCAATGGTCGGCTCTGGTCACACACAGCGTGGGGCAACAGAAACAGGGAGAAAAGAGGTGAGGAGAGGACTCAGCAGTGAAAACAGAAGCTTCCCTTACCAGCAATCCCAGTAATACCACATTTACTGTATCAGGGGAGCACAGAAACAAGTAACCAGACTCTGGAGTGGCTGCACTCTGGCCTGAAATGCTTAACAGTGCCCACCCCAACCCTGCAAGTGACTCTTGATCCCTGCTTTGGGGATGCCACCAAAATCTGGCATCTTTTCACTTTCCTAACTGACATTGGGAAAAAAAATTAAAAATAAAAGCCCCTGGTCTGAGAGGATGGTGGAAATGTCCAAAGCATGTGCCAGCCAGAGCTCTCCTCTCTAATCAGCAGATAATCATAGCTTTGGAGGACACTCAGTCCTCCCCTCCACCAGAGGTTTGTGCTTTTGCTGTTACTCTGCCCCTTCTTCCATTTTAGAGAGGACCTGGTGCAAATCATGGCCAACATGGGTACAAACACAAGATGCCTGCAGTTAGATATGATACCCAGAGTGGGACATTTTAAAATTAATCAATGAATCATTACTCTTGCTACATTTTCCTCAATTTTTCACTTTCAGTCTACTACAAGGAGCAAACCTACTTCCTACATTTGCTACTTTGCAAATACAAACTTGACAGAGAACTGGTATGGTTTTCTGACAGCAGGAGTAACACTGACAACATCCATCCATGGAAATAAGCTCAGAAATCACTTTCTTGCACTAGGACATCATCTTCAGTTAAAATTCCCTGCCTCCAGGAATGTGCTGGCTGTGCAAGTTTTTCCCTGCCTTAGGGGTGGCAACAGAACAGAAGGAGGAGGCAAATGTTCCCAAAGTAAATCCACTGAAATGGAAGTTAAACCCAGGACACTCCTGCAGTCTTTGACTACTTCCAGTCTAAGCCCCTGTTCTTCATACCAAGGAGTCACATCTTTGACCTCCTGTGCACAGCAGTTCCGCCTGTTTGCACCCAAAAGGTGTAAGGGTTCATTTATCTTCACTGAGACTGGTTTGCTCAGACATTTTCATTACAGTTTCACAAGCTTCAATTTATCTTAGAAGCCTGAGCAAGTGAAAGCCCTGCAAAAGGAACGGTGGTGACGAGGACCGGAGCAACGCTCTCTGTCTGCCTGGAGCACAATTCAGCAGGAGGACAAACCCTCCTAAGCCTTCTCCATATTAACCCAAGCAATGAGCTGGATCCTGTACAGAAGTGACTTTGTTTCTGCCTTTGCTGCCTGCAGATGGATGAGTGGGCACACAAAAGGGAGCAGGAATTCTGAGGCCACAGGGGAGAGAAGACTGACATGGTTCCCAGAGGCACCTATAACTCCTGCAAGCTCAAACAGTTTCTTTAGAAAAAATTCAAGGCATCAGGCTTCCAACCAGGTTCACAAGTTGAAATGCTTTGTGTTGCTAAGAAGGCCACTTACCAAATACTTCCAGTGTAAAATTTCTGGTGGTGTTCTGAAAAACAAATCCGTATTTTCCTTCATCATCTTTCTCCACGCTCCTCAGCACTAGGGAGCCGTTCTCTAAGTTCAGCCATCTACTGGCAGAAGTGCCACACTTGGCCAGCAAAGTATCATTTAGGACAGTTGTAGAGCATTTCTTATCCTCCTTGCTCATACTGGAGAAGTTCTGCAGGCTTTGGATTTCCAAAGAAAAGACTGCTGAGTCGCCGCTGAGCGCACCAGTCCAGATGGCAGAGCCTGAAAGGAGAGCAAGCTTGCCATGTCCATCCATCCCCTCCTGGCTGCCTCCCAGGAAGGATAATGCCCAGGTGAGACATAAGAGGGACAGACCCAACCCTAGGGACAAGTTGGATCACCAGTGATTGAAAATCAGAGGAGTGGGATGTCTTCTATAGGGTCCAACTTCCCCCACCTCAACAGCACAGGAATGGTGTGCACACTTGCACACAGGGAAACAAAAGGCTGAACAGCTGGTCTTTTCTCTCCCTAAATTTAAAATGAGCATCTACCAGCCCCCAGCAGAGATGAGAGACTGTGGGAAGAAAGGGCATCAATACCATGGACCTTGCACAGAGGGTAGCAGAAACAACAGCTGCAGGTGCACAGACAGCTGCCTTCACCCAAAGAGTAAGGTCACAGTTTTAACTTGAACAGGTCTCCCAGTACACTTGGACATTATTAAGCTGTGGTGTGTAAATCAGAGATGGGTAAATGGAAAGGCAACAGCAGCCTGGGGACTAACCCAAGGTCACAGCGAGTGTTGGGAACTGGACCACTACGCTCTCCAGCCAGAACTCTGCATACAAGGACCTTACATTCCCTGCTGAAAAGCTTCTACAGACACAGGACACTCAGAAAGTACAATATTTTGTTTAGTAGAAAAAGAATCTGTCTTACTTTGGTCTGACTTCCCCTTTCATGCATTAGCAGCCACACTATTTGATGTCGCCCCAAACCTGGTGGCATCCTTAAAAGATCTTGGAGCAAAATTAGGGTGTCTGCTCATCTAGGCAAGTCTGTGCCAACCCCATAAAGAAAAATCCTCCTTACCTTGAGTAACAGTTATTATCACCAGCAAGCAGAGCAGAGTAAAAGGAGAGATGAAATCCATTTCAAAGAGCTCCTTGCATCATATGCTGAGGAGATGATCTGGCTACAGAGCGCGGTGAATATAGTGCTGGGGAAATGATGTCAGAAGCAAGAGTGAAAAAAAAAAAAAAAAAGAAGCTCCATAGTGGACAGATTGAATGATGTTTCAAAATAGACCTGCAAGGGTTTTGGGTGACTGAACTCGGGCTGAGCCAATGCAAGCCACAATGTGCTCTGCAAAGTCCTGCAGCTCAAAGGTAACTGCGAGTGTGAGAATAGGGCTGAGAGGTGAGGGGAGACAAAAATATCTCCTGGTCTGCTCACTCCATTTAGGAAGAATCTAATGCCAAGAGCAGGCAAAGGAGAAACATCTATTTCTTTCATCCTTTTCCAGTTTATCAAGGTACATCATCCCCACCCAGGGAGGAGAAATTAGTGCAGTCAGATAAAGCACTGCACATGAAAACCAACTGATTTTCTGAAATACTAAAAATTATCATTCCTCAACATCTCACCATCAGGAAGGAGGTGTGGGACAAAGCTCTCCCTCTGTTCCCAAAGTCTGTGTTGCCAATGTGAACTTTGCCAGGCTCTTAGTGACTGAGTGGTACCTGCCATGCAGGAAAGGCTCCACACAGCCAGGCAAAGAGTAAAGCTTATGGGAAGTTAAGCTGCACTGCAAAACTAAACTGAACGTACCCCAAAAGCCACCTCAGCTTTGTTTGGAGTGCAGATCTCAGAGATGAGACTGGAAAGCCACTCCTGAAGAAACACTGTGAACCAGTTATCTGGAGAGTCAGGTAGGGCCAGAGACTGCACTTTTTGGGATGGCTTAAAGTGCACTGGGTGTTGCCCCGAGTGCCAGGGTGGGTTAAACAAACAACACAGGGGGAACTGTCTCACTCACTGGAGGAAGTAGACTGCATTAGAGCCAATATCTGGATGCTTTCAGATGCTTAGCAGATGTGCTGGGGAATAACTACAACAGTTGGGTTCAGGATGCAGCTGGGAAGCCTAGACTTTTGTGCCATTTCTCTGGACAGACATAGACATAGCCCCTTAAGGAAGCTCCACGCAGTGGATTCACGTGTACACACACATTTCTGAGAAGTGGGTAAAACCCTTGTGTTGTGCTCTGCACTGTTTTTCAAACAATCTGGCTATGCTTGAAAAATTCCATATTTCAGCCACTGGTTTGGCCACTGTGACTTCTTATCAATGACAATTGCATCTCACCTCCTGCTCCCAGTGTTACTAATTTGGTTCAAGGCTATCACAGCAATATGCTGCCTTTATCATATGTGCATAGGACAGGCCTAAATTGATCTAAGATGAGACAGAAATAGACGTCTCTGAGAAAAGCAGTGAAGTGAGTCTTCAGACGCTCACAGCAGTGCAGAGGAAGGGAGAGAGAAAAAAGTATTTACAGTAAGAAACACTTTCATTTCCTTCTGTGCTGCTGAAATAAGATGAAGAAAATCTCTCTCAAATACCACTGCAAGACTGGGGCTAACCATCTGCCTCGGATGTGCACATTCAACTTCATTTCACCTTCATGCTTGAAGGGCAAGCTGGTAGAGCTTAGGGTTGCAGTGCTGTGGTGGAGACACGAGACAGAACAGACAGCACGCGCAGGGTCGCTTCCAAACAGCACCCCAAAACATCCTGAATCTCAGCAAAACAAGATGCAAAAGGGGTCTGCATAAAGACTAATCCAGCAAAAGCTCACCTTCTCTTCCAGCCAACGAGAGAAGAGCCCACTTACACATTTGCAGTAAAATCCAAGAAAAATACGGCCTTGCTGCTGCCGCTCTGTTGTTACAGAAGTGACTCTGCACGACTGTGACATTGCGGTGTCCTGCATTTCGTCTCCCTCTCAGTGACTCCAGGGCAAATGAGTACATTTATGAGTTCAATATTCCTGACTGCAAGTGCCCCATACATCACACAGCATATGAAGTCCCATTAGGCTTCTTCTGTCCCTCACATCCTCACTAGCTAAAAAAAAAAATACCAAAAGGAATCACGGCCAGGATAAAGATGACAGCACACACACAATCTGTGTTGTCATCAATCAGCAGCCTCTTCTAAGAGCAGCACTCTCAAATTTCACATACAATGAAACTGTTAGATGAGATCTGGCATTAATTTCTAATTAATTAGCATTGGCTAATGAGTGCTTTCAGCACCCTTGGCTGGGCAGAGAATTCAGTTCCCCTTTTTATATAAAGACACAGAGTTTTGTGTGATTACTGCAGACAAAAATCACCTTGTAAGGCTTACCAGAAATCACAAGTAGAAAAAAGGGGGAGGGAAGGTGAACCAAATAAAAAAAAAAAACTAAGACTTTGTAGTCAACCAAGAATTTGTAGTTTGAAGGTGAACTAAAACTTTTTTTACTTGGTGAGCTGCAAGCTCACAGGGTCATTTTGCCCCTTCACGCTGAAGGCTTCATGAAAGGGGAATAGAGATTCATTCCATAGATGGCATGAGGCCTTGATGGAGCTTGGGAGATGGGAAAACCTGAGTTAGCAAGTAAAGCAGGAAATAACCCGTGAAATATTATGGAGAAATCTGTACATATCAACTCTGCACATCTCCCTTTCCACAGGCTGGTAAGCATGGGCAGCACACCTATTTTTACTGCCATTAATGTGTGTCAGTGCTCACTGGGGAAACACACGGGCTCAGATTCACTCAGAGGCAGCCAGCAGAGCTAAATCCGGAGACTCAACACAAGCAAACAGAAAATAGGCCTGCAGCACCAGCAATGCACAGCTGCAGTGGCCCTTCTGTCCATCCATCCCCTGTGGTGGAGCAGCATGGCCATGGCTACAGCCCAAACTGCCAGGGCAGGGACACCCAGGACTGGACAGCACTGGGAGAGTGTCATGGGGTGACTTTACTTTTAAGATAGTTTTGAGAGCTAAGGAAGTTGAAGCTGCTGGTGGCTGATGGGAGTCTTTTCTCCTGACCAATTATTGGTCATTTCTAAGAATTGACAGCAGTTTTGACTATTGAAAAGTGAGATCAACTTGTGAACACCGCCTGAAGATGTAAAGCCAGGGCTCTCTTGTTCTCTTTGGGTTTCCAGCCTCTGACAAGGTAACGAGGCTCTGTCTTGGCGTCCTCCCCCCCCTCCAGGCTGGACAAGGTCACAGAGGGCGGGGGGGGGAGAAACGGAGCCAGCCAGCCTGGTTTAGTTTGTAGTTTCTGCTGCTGGACTGAAACCTGACACTATGAACACTTGCAACTTTTCCAAGACTTTAATTCTTTTACTACCTAGATAAAACATACAGATTACTCCTTTTCCCAGAGAGACAGAGAGAGACAATCAACATGAAGAAGACATCATAAAAACCATCAAAGACAGTGAAGAAAAGAGTTAAGCTTTAGATGGGGAAGAGAGAATAAGGAGATGCTTTATAAGCTGAAATATTTTTCTGTTAAAGCTATGGAGATGGACAATAATGTTCTGAAAAAAACCTCCTTTAATTCATGACAGAATATATTGGGAGGAATGGAGTGTTCAAAGTTTGGATTTTGAGCAAATAGAGTAATTGTGATACAGTGAGGTGCTGGAACAGAGTGAAGCGAAGATTTGAGACCTTGAGGGCAATGAGAAAACTGTTTTCCAGTGAAGCTCACAGAGACAGATGAAGAGGACTTTTGCCTTTGAATAACTCATCCTTAAAATGCCATCCCTAGACTCATTTGACCCATACACACCTCAGAGTGATGTGAAATGGGAGGAGTGAACTGATGGCAGATTTCCAGGCAGCTGGCATCAGAGAAATAGAAAACTATAACAGAAATAGTTTTCTCGTGAAAAACTCCATAGATTAGCAGAAGAAGACTTCTGTTTCTCTACAAAGACTGATGAAAAGACTCTAGCAGGGATTGAGACTGTTTTAAACACCAAAGTTCCAAAGTTTTTTGTCTCTATGTTGTCATGTGAACAAGGGAATGGTTGGGAATGGTGGGGCATAAAAGGGTTTTCTGAAAGTTTATTCTGGTGTTCTTATTCTTGTAGTTTTGTTAATAAACTTTCTTTATTCCTTTTGAGTTTTGAACCTGTTTTGCTCTTGCTCTGGTCCATATCTCACAGCAAGAAATAAGTAAGTTTTCTAGTAATTTTTTAGTTACTGCTTTAAAACCACAACATTTATTTGGTGTGTTGGCCGAGAAAACGAAACTAGCAAATCTAAACCACTACAGAGAAGGAGAGGTTTGCAGCCACAATGTGCAGCACACATGTGCTCTGCAAGCTTGAAGAGAGCTGCAAGTGTAGGAACAGGGCTGAGGGGTGAGGGGAGACAAAAATATCTCCTGGTCAGCTCACCAGTCCAGCCCACACCTACAGCTATTCAGGCATCAGCCATTTCCTTTAAAATGGGCTTTGAGTGGCTCACAGGAGACTTTAACTGTGGCACACACCTAAGAAATGCTTCTGTGGGGGGCAGCAGGACCCCAGAGACTGATGAAGATTCATATTCATATGAACTCTGTTACATTAAACTAGCCAGAGAGCTATGCTTATCCTCAAGATCTTTCTTGGTCATAGCAATAGAGATAGCAAGCAAAAATAAAAGCAAATGCTAATGTCAGAGTCTCAGCTATAGATGATATCTCCATGACAGGGACATTAAAAAACCCTACAAATTAAAAAGGGGATGTTGCAGAAACGTGCTGAGATCACAAACTGCTATGGAAAGGCTCCAGACCTAATTATGGACAAGGTACATGTGGTTTTCTCCATCCTGTAGTACCTCTGGGGAAGGCACAGCCCAACACTTGCAGGAGCCAGAGCTGATAGGACTGCACTCTTTTCTTCAGAGCACCCATGGATATTTTCATTTTCTCTTGCTAAGAGATGGAAGGAACGTACAATATCCTACAAACACATACAGTTCCTCTGAAATGGCTCTCCCAGCATGGCCTGTGATGACAAGTGAAGAAGAAGAGCCCATACATGGAAAAACTGCTAGAAATGACACAATTTATATTTAGCTGCATGCAGGGTGAAATGCTTTGCATTT